TGAGAAGTAATATTTCCTTCACATTTTTCGAAAAAGCGGTTATTGCTTCCTGCCGCAGTCGCAACCGATTGCGTAGAATCGCTTCCATGTCATCTCTACGGTCCCCCACTTGCATCCCCGTTGCACTCATGTCCCGATCCAAAGTAGACAGACATCTACGCGACACTTCGTCGCATTTCTTCTTCAGTAGCTTAGAAAGAAGTGATTTCTTTTCACTAAAAGGACCCCCAGATGCAAGGAGGAACAATAGAGCCACCAATGATCAAAGTAGGCGCTGCTGTGAGAATAAATCTTCCTCGCCTTCGCACTTCCTGCAGTAAAGTCAGTATGCTCTAATTTATAGATCATGTCACGAGAAATTCCAAATAGTATGCTGCATCTGAGACCACAAAGCTGTCATTTACATCTTAGACAGACTGCTAGACAGACTGCTTCACGCCTGAGAAGTGTGTATCCTCTTAGTCAGACTCCTGCTTCACTCTTGAGTATGCGGCATCTGAGTCTGAGACAACTTCTTTCCAAAGTACGAAGGTCTACCTCTTGTCAGTTTTCACTCACGGGCACTACCACTACTTTGGCCACTCTTCCTGCGCCTTAACTATCCCGCTTCTGACGTGGACCTTCTTGAGTTCTTTAGCGGTTGCAGTCTTCAACCGGGTGAAATTATCATGCAGCAATTGCTCTACCTCCTCTATGAGCTGGAGATCCGAGATCTTATCCGCTCCATCCTCCTCGCCCTCTACTTGATCGTCTTCTCCATCGCCGAAGAGTGTGCTAGACTTGCTTCTTTCTTAGAAGAAGATGACGCAAGAATAAGAATAAGACGAGGGAAATTACTCGCAGTTTACACAGTACATATTGATACAATGACGAAGTGGATCAATGTATTCATCTTGATGCTACTTCTCTCCACCTTTGCGTCTACATCTACTGGTAGCTACACCTCTCGTCTCTGCCTCGCGCTTTCATCACCGTGTCCCATATAGTACTACAAGCCTATAGGCAGGACAAAACAGTTCCAGCAGTACGTCAATTTTACTTGACGGCCGCGGAAGTGAGAAGCCACGCCTAGTACTCACAATACAACTTGCCTTAACTTTTGCTCATTTCACTCATAGCCAACGCCGTTGTACCCTTATAATGGCCGGTTGGCGTGGCGCCACCGTCTTTGCTTCTTCCATACCTTAGAGGAAATTACTCTAAGCCTAAGCCTAAATCCATGATCTTGAAGATACACCACTACTAGTACATTCATCATCTTGTAGACCATCGATCCTAAGACCATCGATCCTGAGATGACCTCTTTCTTTGTCCTGTTGAAAGCACGAGCTCCATCCCATGACGATGATGGCTAACTATGATCAACACTGCTGAGGCCTCTTTCTTTGTCTTGTCGAAAGCATGCCAAAGTACTACTTAAGTACTTAAATCGATGCAAAAAAGTATACACGCACCCATGCATAAATATCGATGTAAAAACGCTATCGGATGATCAGTCAAGTCGTGCTCGTCTGTGTCTGTGCCAGAGCTCGACGCTACTCCTTCACCAATGGGAACATTCTCACCTTCCCCCGCCAACATTATTAGAGCCCAAAGCCAGCCTGCATTTCTTGGGTTCATTTCTTCAGAATCCACTTAAGTCAGAAAACCAAAGAAAAGGCCTCATGCCTTCATTTCTTCAGAATCCACCTAAGTCAGAAAACCAAAGAAAAGTGGCCTCATGCCTTCATTTCTTCAGAATCCACCTAAGTCAGAAAACCAAAGAAAACCAAGGAAAATGACCTGTATCTATTGTGACTGTGAGCCTTAACAGTAATCCCTGTTTGGAAGACGACCGAGAAGAATGTCCCACTTTTACCACTCGACTAGATCTAGTTGTACTGGATAACGCGCTTCTAGTGGATGACGCTGTTACTCCATTTCCTCCACTAGAAGCACGTTGCTTTAGTTTCAGCAAGGACTATTAGAACTACTCACTACAACCGTGGCAGGATCTAGTGGTTTGCATCCTTCCTGGTCGCATCCTTCCTGGGAGGATGACGAGGACGCACCCTTCTTCCTTAGCTTCTTTTCCTATAAATATGCCCAAAAAGATGCCTGCAGTCACTCACTGTGAGGAGGATCAGGATGCGAGTGAGTGGACGATGGAAACTGGGATCAGGCACCCATCCTCCAAACGAGGATACATCTACTCACTGCGGTACTAGAGGCCTTAAGAATATTGCTCGTCTAGAACGAGTTTGGAGTCTGGGTTCGTATCGAACGTAGGACTCTGCTCACGCAACCGCAGCCACCGCGCCTTCAACTGAGAACCATGCGCCTCAAGTTAGAGCTCACAATGGAAGTCGTGATGATGAAAGGACCAAGTAGACGGCGAGTCGCCGATGTCCAGCACAAGCAAAGCTAGATCTAGCCCTGCAATAGCAGTTTGATTCTTAACAGCGTTAGCCCTAACTAGAAAAGAAACGTACGGGTGAAAGAATCAACTACAAGTAGACTAATCATCTACACCTGCATCAATAGAAATCTAAACCAACAGCGATATCATGCCCCCCAGGCGCCCTTCACAATGGGCCACTGGGCACCTCCCAGTGAGGGATGTAGAGAGGATGAGGGATGTAGAGAGGATGAGGGATGTAGAGAGGATGAGGGATGTAGAAAGGATGAGGGATGTAGAAAGGATGAGGGATGTAGAAAGGAACAGTATTCGTTGCACTAAACGACCATTCCCCCCTGCTTTATTGATCAAGCATTGATCAGACGCCCTCCCGCCGAGCAGTTAGGCAATTTTTTCAGGAGCACAAAACAGGCTTTACTCCCCGACATAACACCCAAGTGTGCCCCAGAGAAAATGTTACACTCAAAATGTTCGAGAACCTAAAATGTTGAAAATGAACGATGATAACATACGTCCTGCTGTTTAGGCCCGTATTGCGAAGAATCTAAGCATCTGCAGTGAGAGAATGATAGAGCTGCTTACATCTGAGAACTTTTCTCAACCTCAAAAGTTTTTGAATCCTAAACTTTTCTAAAATTTCTCATCTAAATCTCAACTATCAGCAATCTTTAGCATCCAAATGCATTAGATAACTGATACTGAACTACTACGCCTCTAGATTTCAAATGGCCATATCCAAGAATTTTCAGTTTTATCTACTATTTATTCAAATTCATTTCTGCCGAACGCTTTGCAACTCAATGACAATGGAACCAGGAATCATCGCGAAACGCTCGAAATTCAATCACAACCGAACCACGTTTCAGCAGGGTATGCTAGCAAAAACTGGCCCAACGTCGCCCACAATAATCCCGAACTACAACAATCACGAATCTTTTAGCACAATCACTTCTACCTTGCTCAATTCCTCAGAATTCTCAATCCAATAAGAGAAACTCTTCTAAGAAAGCCAAGCAGTCCGTGCCTGTGTCTGTGCCTGGATAGTCTATGTCTGTGCCTGGATAAGATAGGATAGGATAGGACGTTATTCGCCGTGTCGGTGTCTCTGTCTAGATATGCATTCGAATTGTCTGTCTCTGTCGAGGTATTATAAAATATTGAAAACGTGCTGTGTGCCATAATGAAGCATGTGGATCACCCCTGCGGGACACTGCAGAGTACTTGTCGCCTCTTGGATTCCGTGGTCTGCTGGACTTGCTAGGAGGTCATTACCAGTGCCAATCCAATTTCTTCGATGTTAGAGCTACCGCGTTCGCAGTAGTACACCTCCCTAAGTTGTCGACCTACCTTAGGAAAATTATAGCCAGGGCTATAATTTACAATTACAAACTTTTCGAATTTGTTCGACGCACCAGCTTGGGTGGGCGCAGAGAAAGCAAACGCCCCTCACAGACGCAAAGATGCAAGCCAAACAATAGTGAAGGGGGCAGAGAGCTCTGTTCTACTACTAAGCGCTGGGAGCTAATTGAAGAACCACTACTATTGACTTACTCAGAAGGCAGACAAAAGCAAAAGGATGGTCCCTTCTTGGTTGGCATAATGTTGGAAGCCAGTGCTAGTGTTCAAGGCATTGTTGCCTATTCGCAGTGTTGACAGTTTCCTCTCTGCACGCTTTGCCACCTTCACAAAAGGACGCTGTAAACTTGCTGTAGTCGAGGTCTGAGCAGAAAAAATGTCGCTCAACCCAGGAAGAAAAATCTTCTTTGGTCGCTTTTTAGAGTTGTGCACTAGCTACATCAAATACAAGTAGTCGCTCACATCAAGTACAAGTACAATTAGTCAAGAAGGCTCCTCCTCGTGGTCAACTATGACACGAGTGGTCTCGAGAAAACTTAATGACGTAGACCTTAGACAAAAAACAGAGTTGACTTCTATAGAACATCAATGGATGACGACGACGAGAGAGAAAACTTATTGAATTATCTTTCTCTACTAGTAAGCTTCTAGTAGTACTAGCGAGAGCAAAAGATTGGGGTAAGAAATTAGTAGTCCTTCTCTACAACGAGAGAAATTACCGCTCAACAAGTACTATAAATCCTTGCAAGATGAAACTACTAATTAAGAAGTGCTACTTATCTTCTATGATGTCCGTAACTACATGCACTTCTCTATTTATGCAACGAAGTACTAAGTACTTTTATGTCTACAACTAAGCATCTCCTTTTTTGTCCAGACATAACATGAACGAGGTCTACCAGGTTTGTCACTGCAGAAACATCCCGGTCATTAGAGCTGCCGCAAGTGCATCCCTGAGACCACCACCCTTGGCCTCTTTTTCAAGTATATCTTATAAGGTTGTAACCCAGATGTAGATGATTGACTGATCTAGTCCTTCTCCAAAAGAAAGCAGGGATAATGCTGAGGATGCTTGAGCGGTTGCCGTAACTTCAGGTTTTTTCTGAGCAGCGCCAGTATTGAAACTGGGTTTCCACAATTCCAGCTTCGGTAAGGGAAGCTCTGGCCGCTCGCACTGCGGTCCTAGCTTTGGCTCGACTTGCGGCGCTTCTGGTTGCTTGGAGATGCTTTTGCTCCTTGTTGTACTGGGAAAGGCTGCGAGTTTAGAGTTGTATGAGTTGAAAACTACTCCCCACTAATCTAGAAGAAACTACTTAGAAAGGTGGAAAGCTGCAACGACTTACAGAAAGAAAGCTGTGTGACTTTACAGAGTCTCTCCTACGCGGCCACACTTCTCAGTCTACGCTATGCTGTTGTAAATGTGAAACAGGAGAAAGCTTCTTGCATTAACGAGGACTTACTAGTACACAGTCTACGTTAACCTTAACGGGCTTCTTTCGACAGTACAAAGAAAGAATTGTTGTATCCTATTCTTGGCTCATAAGATTTTCACCCACGCTGGTTCTCGTGGGACCCACACTGCCTCTCGTGGGCGTCCCTGACCGACTGCTCTGAACCTGCATTCTTAGAGCAGGGAAAATTCCCACGAGAAAGAACCGCGACATAGAAGAGACGATGAGTCAATGCTTTTGAGTGATGTTTGAGGGATCGCCTGGGTGATCTCCCGACTCTATATTTAGCCTGGTTTAGAAGTTAGAAGTACGGCACGCTTGCCCTCAAACGCACGAATGATTCGTATGAAGCGGGTAACTAAACTAGTACATGAAAACCCAACAGTTGGCCTTAAGTTCATGCTACTGTTCGTCCCAGAGTTCTTGTACGCACCTCCTTGCTGCTCGGTGTTTGCATCCTCAGAACTCGGGTCTTGTGGCTCGAAGTTGTTCATGTTAGAGAGACTCTCTGTTTCCCCGAAGAAAAGGACGTCCCTCCTACTAAGATACGTCTGAACCCCCAGAGCACAAGATCAGTCTCAAAGTCCATCCTTCTAGTAATTGAAAGTTGTTCCGCCCTTGATGTAAGAGTATTGACTATTACAGCCTCGTTCCAAGTAACCCAGTATCCTTCTGAATGTCCCCTTGGCGTATGCAACTCTTGAGGGAGCAGTGCCTCTTCTATAGGAGAGATGGGTCCCCTCTTCTGTTCGACACTGTCCAACCGTTCAAGACCGCGTCCAGAGACATCTACAGCACCAGCATCCCTTGTTGATGTATACACCCTTTGAGGGACTACTAAATAATAGGAACTCTTTTATTCTTGCGGGACTAGTGTAATTGGACTGCTATGTATTTCTTCTAAGTAAATCTGCATCTACAGCACCAGAGACTGTCTGATAAAGAACAACACGTCATCCCTTCACTTCCGCACCTGAAAGTTTTGTTTTCAATCTTGAGCCAAAAGCGTAGCGTCACCCTTGATTTCTTGTCTCTCACTCTGTTCGTCAATAAACAAATACCAAGACGAAGCGGAGGCTTCGCAGGCTTATCCCGAAAGAAAACCAGAGAAAGAAAAGCCGAATGTTACTTTTCTGTTCAGACAAATGGAACAACGACCGAGGAGTATCTTCACCCCTCCTGAGGCTTGTGATCCATACAACACGTCATGCCTTCACTCCCACACCACGGCCTCTATCTGATATACTAGAACAGCATCTAAATTCACACATTCACTTTCAGCCATAATGATGGAGGTTTGCAGTATGACTTCCTGCTCATGCAAAAGCGGCACGTATGTCTCACTCCCATCCACGTAGAGATACAACTCTTCTCGAAACTCCAGATAGTGTTTCATCTCCTCTCGAAAGAATGCCGCG